ATTAATAATAAATTAAACCTTGTGAATCACACTACAACTAAATGTAAAATTGTTATTTTTAAATGGCTGATATTAAAAGATTACATTGATACTGAATCACTTCTAGATGTCGGTGTAACCTAAGCATATTAAATAGTTGTGAGCTAAGCGAAATACTTATTATCATTATATTAACTAAATACTACTACTTTGATGCACCCTAAAATTAGGTAACATACCTATTTTATCTAAATTACAAAACTATCTGCATACGCACAACCAATACACCCATAATCACAATTTTATTTTATTTTATTATACTAACAAATAATCAATTGGCTAATATATACAATTAAATAATTATTTAAGCAAATCTACCCTTGACACAAACAAATACATACCTCTAAACTACCAGGAAAACTAAAATCGTAACATTCCGTAACAACAGTTTTATCTGCATTTCGAAAGTATACTGCGCCGCATTCCTTACTTGAAGTAGTTCCTTGCGAATCTTGCGATGGTTCGGGTTGGATAGTGTAATTACTACTACCTTCTTAAAATATTTATATCTTTGTGTTAGCAAAGTTGGCTATTAATGTAATTTATTGGTTAAATTTGAAGTGTTTACCTTATATTCAAAGTGAAGTGGCTTAATAGTTATTGAAAACATTTACCTTAGTGACTGCTACAAACTTACTGTTTACCTACATTTAGGATGAAAGACTGGCTTCCCATAGCACAGGGTAACCTAGTTTGGGGGCCAGGCAGACATGTCATGTATCTTGTAAGTTACAAATAAACTTTATTTTATTATTTAATATGTTTCTAAGTGTTACTGTACCGCAGCAAATAAGTTTTCATTCATGTTGATATCAACTGCATACATATATTAATTTTTTTATCATTGACGCATATAAAATCCTTACGTAAACTGTGCGTGTCGGAGGATTTTCATCTCAATTGTTATCTACAATTAAACTAAACCTCTCCACTTAATCCTCATCTACTGTAGATGAAAATACTTAGAAACTCCTTACACGAACAGTTTAGGTAGATAAGGGATTTTTCTCGTTGGTTAATATGAAATTCCGAAGTGATCTGTTTACATAACGGTATATGTACAGGAATTTATAATTCGAGGAACTTCATATTTTTAATAACGCTCAATCTTAATTTAAGGCGCAAGAAGAATTACTGATGGTTTTCGACGAGGAGCTGGCGTACCAGGCGTACACGACGTTTGAGAAGCTCATCGGCACAGAGAGCCTCGAGCGAACCCTCAAGAACATGGACACCGTCCGAGCGCTGTGCAATAGTTACAAGCAGAGGCATTCCATCAGGTATGTAGATCAGTCTTGTTTTTCAGGTGTATTACTGATAGTGGTTGACCAGGAGTTCACACGAAGACGTTTGAGAAGCTCATCGGCGCAGAGAGCCTCGAGCGAACCCTCAAGAACATGGACACCGTGCGAGCGCTGTGCAATAGTTACAAGCAGAGGCATTCCATCAGGTATGTAGATCTGTCTTGCTTTCCAGGGAGGTGTATTACTGATAGTGGTTGACCAGGAGTTGTACCAGGCGTACACGACGTTTGAGAAGCTCATCGGCGCAGAGAGCCTCGAGCGAACCCTCAAGAACATGGACACCGTGCGAGCGCTGTGCAATAGTTACAAGCAGAGGCATTCCATCAGGTATGTAGATCTGTCTTGCTTTCCAGGGAGGTGTATTACTGATAGTGGTTGACCAGGAGTTGTACCAGGCGTACACGACGTTTGAGAAGCTCATCGGCGCAGAGGCCTCGAGCGAACCCTCAAGAACATGGACACCGTGCGAGCGCTGTGCAATAGTTACAAGCAGAGGCATTCCATCAGGTATGTAGATCTGTCTTGCTTTCCAGGAGGTGTATTACTGATAGTGGTTGACCAGGAGTTGTACCAGGCGTACACGACGTTTGAGAAGCTCATCGGCGCAGAGAGCCTCGAGCGAACCCTCAAGAACATGGACACCGTGCGAGCACTGTGCAATAGTTACAAGCATAGGCATTCCATCAGGTATGTAGATCTGTCTTGTTTTCCAGGTGTATTACTGATAGTGATTGACCAGGAGTTCGCATATCAGGCGTACACGACGTTTGAGAAGCTCATCGGCGCAGAGAGCCTCGAGCGAACCCTCAAGAACATGGACACCGTGCGAGCGCTGTGCAATAGTTACAAGCAGAGGCATTCCATCAGGTCAGCTAAAGTTAATAAATATGCTGCAAATTTGGCAGGTGAAGGCCAGTTCTTCAAATGGAAAAGTGAAGGAATGGCTGCTCTACCTTGCCTGGCCAGGTGTCGTGTGGTATATAGGGTGCGCGGTGAACGCTTCGATACCACGTTTTAGGCTCATTGTGCTGTCATGCAGAGCCATCTGGAGTAATAGTTGCGAATTTCATTGCGTCTTAGTTTGCTTGTGAGCCTTATTGCGAACAATTCTAATTTATTTTAATGCGTAGCTCTTAGAGGTTGCTACACAATCTTCGATTAGGAGTTTTGGTACCATAAAATAGTTCCACCTTTGTGCTATATTTGTTTATATCACGAATATGTGATTTCCAGGTCGCCAGTATCCAGCACGCATCCCATACGCGTACAGTCTTCATTTAGCGATGAGCCTATTAGCAAAAGAAGTATTGACATCACGCCCGCGCGCGGCGATGCGCCTCTCATGGATCACATCTCGAGTTCTAACAGGTAACAAATAATAGGATACAAGGCGTACGAATTTTGAAATTGTGATAGAATGTTGAATGAATGAAGAACGCAACAAACCCTTTCTAAAGTAGCGGAAAAAAATTAGTACACAGTAACGACTCTACTACCTCAGTGGGCATTGCGCACAATTTTCTGTATATCCTAAATAGTGGTCAAGCCAATGAAACCTCTCGAAGAATAACATAAATCGCTAAGATGTATGAAGTAATGCTAGTATTAAATTTTACGATAGTAATTTCTTTTACAGTTTCGGATCGAACGTGACATTAGTGGGCAACAGAATAGAAGTGGCTAGTGACGCGGGCGACGTCGGCTCGTTCCGGCAGGGAGCGGGGTTCGATGTCGTCGCGTACAAGATGGACAACGGCGTCAAGAGCAACCGGTAAGTGCTATTAGTCCAAAGTGACGCAACAGAGTAAAAGTGGCTAGTGACGCAAGTGGGCAACAGGATAGAAGTGGCTAGTGACGCGGGCGACGTCGGCTCGTTCCGGCAGGGAGCGGGGTTCGATGTCGTCGCGTACAAGATGGACAACGGCGTCAAGAGCAACCGGTTAGTGCTATTTTAACAAAATCTTTAATCATATTTGTATGGAGTGCACATGGCAGACGATCGGCTCGCATGGAGAGCCCTTTAGAATAGTGCGACTTTCGGTGATCACGACCCTCAGTAATGAGGAATCGACAGAAAAGGAGAAGTTTGGGCTAAAAAAACATGTAACGGTTTTTCGGCAGCCTTGCCCCACAGCAGAATGCCCTATATAAATTTTATCGCGATGCGCACGTAGTACTTGCCGACGTAGTTATTAAATGGATAGAAGTGGCTAGTGACGCGGGCGACGTCGGCTCGTTCCGGCAGGGAGCGGGGTTCGATGTCGTCGCGTACAAGATGGACAACGGCGTCAAGAGCAACCGGTAAGTGCTACTAGTCCAAAGTGACGCAACAGAGTAAAAGTGGCTAGTGACGCAAGTAGGCAACAGGATAGAAGTGGCTAGTGACGCAAGTGGGCAACAGTATAGAAGTGGCTAGTGACGCAAGTGGGCAACAGGATAGAAGTGGCTAGTGACGCGGGCGACGTCGGCTCGTTCCGGCAGGGAGCGGGGTTCGATGTCGTCGCGTACAAGATGGACAACGGCGTCAAGAGCAACCGGTAAGTGCTTTTGGTCCAAAGTGACACATAAGAGTAACAGTGGCTAGTGACGCAAGTGGGCAACAGGATAGAAGTGGCTAGTGACGCAAGTGGGCAACAGTATAGAAGTGGCTAGTGACGCAAGTGGGCAACAGGATAGAAGTGGCTAGTGACGCGGGCGACGTCGGCTCGTTCCGGCAGGGAGCGGGGTTCGATGTCGTCGCGTACAAGATGGACAACGGCGTCAAGAGCAACCGGTAAGTGCTACTAGTCCAATGTGACGCAACAGAGTAAAAGTGGCTAGTGACGCAAGTGGGCAACATGATAGAAGTGGCTAGTGACGCAAGTGGGCAGCAGGATAGAAGTGGCTAGTGACGCAAGTGGGCAGCAGGATAGAAGTGGCTAGTGACGCAAGTGGGCAACAGGATAGAAGTGGTAAGTGACGCGGGCGACGTCGGCTCGTTCCGGCAGGGAGCGGGGTTCGATGTCGTCGCCTACAAGATGGACAACGGCGTCAAGAGCAACCGGTTAGTGCTATTTTAACAAAAGGGATTAATCATATTTGTATAGAGTACACATGGCAGAAGATCGGCTAACACGGAGAGTCCTTCAGAATAGTGCGACTTACGGTGGTCACGACCCTCAGTCATGAGGAATCGACAGAAAAGAAGTTAATTATATGTATTTGGGGTACAAAAAAACATTTTTTAACGGTATTTCGGCAGCCTTGCTCCACAGCAGAATGCCATAAGACATGACAAAATTCTATGAAAATGAACAATTCCAGTGGTTTATTGGAATTTTTAATGCATTCACAGTGCAATATTATTTTCATAAATTGAAAATGCGAAAATTGAAAAATTCACTAGCGACCGCCAGAATTTGAACCCGGGACTGTGGATCACCGTTCCACCGCTCTACCAATCTTTCAACTGTGACCACCAAGCGCTGTGAGTGCATTAAAAAAATTCTATACATTGGTATTCTATAAATTCTATACAAGCTTCATCATATGGTTTGAATTCCACTCATAATGTGGACTAACCATGAAGTATAGTTCTAAATACTTTGTACAGATGTCGCTGGATCGTCGCTTCGAGACGAGCATCAAGAGGTTGAAAGATTCACCATTGTATACTAGGCGCCCGTAGCTCAGTAGGTAGAGCGGTGGAACGGTGATCCACAGTCCCGGGTTCAAGTCCTGGCGGTTGCTAGTAAATTTTTCAATTTTCGCATTTTCAATTTAATTCCAGTGGTTGTAATGGTAACGTGACTTAATTAGTCACTTTAGTTTGGCTATCTTGCAACCATGTTCTTCTTTGTTTTGAAGAGTCAATGGGAATTTAAAAGCAATAGCTGTTTGGAAAGCATTGGCAATAGCTGTATTAGTTTTTATACTACCGACGTTTTTTATACTACCTACGTTAGATGTATGTGATTGATACGATAAGAAAAAGGAGACGACACATTTTAAAGGTTTTAATGAAATCTTTGTCCGTAGCCACCTCCGAGGCGACTGGCTGATCTACTGGGAGCACGAGATCGGCCGCCCCGACAAGGACACTGGCTTCAACCTCAAGCAGATCAAACTGCAAACTTTTACGGGACATACGCATTCAGTCAAGTCCATACATTGTCTGGATAACGAGCATAGTTTCATGAGCGGGTCTAAGGACAAAACTGTCAAGTTATGGTCGCTTCGGAATCAGGTAAGAAATTAACATAATGTAATCTATGGCAATGTGATTGCCTTTAAACAACAAACTGCAAACCTTCACTGGACATACGCATTTAGTCAAGTTCATACACTGTCTGGATAATGAGCACAGTTTCATGAGCGGGTCTAAAGATAAGACTGTCAAGTTATGGTCGCTTAGGAATCAGGTAGGATTATCTCGAAATACAACTTTCTGCACTTAGTTGTCCCGATGAATGTTATCTCTAAATGACTCCCGAACAAAAGTGTCTAGTCTAACTGAGCTCATCTTTTATTCCGCTAGGCCGAATCGGGCCAAATTAAATCTCCTAAACTATACCAAAATATGAGATTTTGATACCTAGGTACATTTCAGACTCGGTAACCTGAATACATATTTACTATAAAATATTTCTCGATATCTGCATTCCTTTTCTCTTTTAATAAAACACTCAATCGCAACATCGTGATTTGATTAATTTCCATTTTTTTCACTTTAACTAACCAAAGTGCCATACTGTACCAATAATCTTGTTCTTCCAAGGGCGACGGCAACGCAACGACCGTAAGCAACTGGACGTACACCGGGCACAAGAAGGGCGTGCTGTCCCTTTCCTTCCTAGAGTCGTTACGTCTTGCCGTCTCCACCGATTCCGTGGTGCACATATGGGACCCGTTCTGTGAGAGCGTCGTGTCACAGGTTTGTTTCATATTATTTATCCTAAAAGCTTAAAGTTACCTCAAATGTTTTATTAATACTGAAAATTCCAATGTGCCCTGGGAAAAACTTTTTCCAAGGAACATTTAGGTCGACGTATGAAAAATTTTTAACCACTAAAACCGGTGAGGTTCAAAGGTGCCGATTAGCTTCATTGTTACATTGGGAGACCATATGTTTTTTGACGTTTTACGACTTACGTTGGTCCTTGGAAATCCTTCCTAGGAGTTCTAGCAATAAAGGGTGATAGGCCCACGAAATTATGAATGCTCGTTCATTGATTGCGTAACTACTTACAGGCCTAGCATCAAAGCCAAAGTATAATATGTATCACCCTATATGTGTTAAGATAAAAATTCATTGACCTCTTTTTATACAAACGATGTGACAGGCGTTTCATCGTAGGTACAGCAGCAGTAGACAATATTTTTATGCAGATTTATTTGGTTCCAATTCTAGTAAATTACAACTTATACAAGAATTTGTTGTTCTCTACACAGTTGGACAGTATAAAATCGCCGATAAGCATCGTGCGCGCGCTGGGCGGCAGCGCCGTGGTGGTGGCGGCCACCACAGATGCCACGCTCAAGCTTATAGACGCCAGGCAGAACAACCACAACAGGGAGCTTAAAGTAAGTCATTCTACCATAGATATTGTTTGACAGTTGGACTGGAGTGCCTGTATCGCTTCGAACTGTGCGCTCAGCTTATGGAAAGTTATAAAGCTACTATATGTCAAATACGGGGTTATTTTTTAGTCAGTGCGCAAACTTTGCAGGGTGTTTCTACTCGTGATTCTGAACAACTTTTACTATGGGGTCACCCGCGAACTCGCAAAAAAAATATCTAGAAAAATTCATACCTACTCGGCAAAAATGTATGGAAAACCAATTTTTTTTAGATTTTTCACGTGGCCCCATAGTAAAAGTTGTTTAGAATCACGACTAGAAACATCCTGCAAAGTTTGCGCACTGACTAAAAAATAACCCTGTAGAGGTACAGTAGCTGTCACTGTCGTTATGGTACTGATAGACAAACAGGCTGCGTTCATTCCACGTTCACTCCGTGCCAACCGGTCATACCTAGTGACTGCACTCAATAGTTTATATCTAATACACATTTTCTCCTACAGCTACCGATGAGCGCGTCGACGTTCGTGCGCTGCATGTGCGTGTGCGCGTCCGGCGCGTGGGTGGCGTGCGGGCTGGCCAGCGGACACGTGGCCGTGCTGGACACGCGCACCGGCCTGCCCGTAGCCACGTGGCGCGCGCACGACGGCGAGGTGAGAATATCCATAGGATGTCCAGAAACCAAGTCTACCATGTCTAGCGTTGGACGCCCTCCGGCCAGATGGACCAATGACTAAAAACGCGGCGGCTGGTAGCGACTTGATGACAAAATTGGGAAATCGTGCCTTATGGCGTTCCCTGGAAGAGGCCTACGTCCAGCATTGGACTGCAATAAACTGAAATAAAATAGAATAGAAGTCTACCATGTAATGCAACACATGGCCCATCAGCGCGGTTTTGAAATGACCACCGTCAAGTAACCTAAGACATAAACCGGGACCGGCAGCTTAACGTACCCTCCAAAGCACGGAGCGCAAGATGCTACGTAACAATTTCAGTTGATATAGCAACGGATTTTTAACACTATATGGTGAAATTTTACTAGTGACTGATAGCGAAAACTCAGAACCGGCTGGTGATAAGGAACAACTTTCCCCTAGGAACATAGGTCGAAAAATGCATAAAAAATTTGGACCTCCCAGCCTGCCATACAAAATTATTGATCAGCTATGTTCCTTGGGGAAAGTTGTTCCTTATCAGCAGCTGGTTCTCAGTTTTCGATCACTAGTAAAATTTCACCCATGAGAGACTTTTTTTTATCACCATGAAATTGTCATTAGTAAAGTATAAATAATTTGTGTAGGTATTGCGACTTGCCGCAGTAGATGACCACAGGCTGCTCAGTTCAGGGCTGGATCAAGTGACGGCGCTATGGCGGCCTGACGACGGAGAGCTCATAGCACATTTGAAGTGAGTATTGTTTGATACCTAGATAAAGCCTTCATCAGTAAACACATACTGCTGAAACTGTAGGATTCTATATCAAAATAACTGATGAGAATGCCGAAACATCCTGTGTATAACTGATCCACAAAAAGAAACGATCTGCGAATAGCGACCAGAGGACATACGTTCTCGCACGCACGAAGGCTTTTATTCATACCAGGCGTCAATTCTTCCTCTTCACACTTGGGTAATCACTACAGATCGTTTCTCTTTCTGGACGAACTCTAGACACCGTATCATTATTTGTTTCGCTATAATAGCCAATACTTACTTTGTGGCTATAACTTCAGTAGATAAAGAATGGATCCCGAATTGGCAGCATTATTGTTTGGCTCTCTATCATATTATATGACATGTGAGCAGGATATCAACAATAATGTTCAACAATAATGTTTGGCTCTATCATATTATATGACATGTGAGCAGGATATCAACAATAATGTTCAACAATAATGTTTGGCTCTCATCATATTATATGACATGTGAGCAGGATATCAACAATAATGTTCAACAATAATGTTTGGCTTTATCATATTATATGACATGTGAGCAGGATATCAACAATAATGTTCAACAATAATGTTTGGCTCTCTATCATATTATATGACATGTGAGCAGGATATCAACAATAATGTTCAACAATAATGTTTGGCTCTATCATATTATATGACATGTGAGCAGGATATCAACAATAATGTTCAACAATAATGTTTGGCTCTCTATCATATTATATGACATGTGATCAGGATATCAACAATTCGGGATGGATTTTTTATCTGCGTGAGTTGTACTGATTTCAACACTTCACCAACAGAGGCAGCACGGAGCCCGTCCACTGCCTATCCGTGTACTACAACGAGCTCATATCCGGAACCACCAACAACCGCATCGGAGTACACACCTCACTGGACACCGAGGCATCTTTCTCTAGCACTAAACTAAGATCAGACACTTTCAAAGGAGTCTTGACTTGTATGTCTGTATTGCCTTTAAATAGACTGTTGCTGTTAGGGAGTGACAATGGAACCATCAGTTTACTTTGCTGATTAACAGTAAGTTTTGCTAATTTGACACTGAGGATTCATTCTCTAGTACTGAACTAAGATCAGACACTTTTAAGGGAGTTTTATAGGCTGTTGGTTGTTGAGAAGTGACAATGGAACCATCAACTTACTTTTAAGAGTCAGTTTTCCTAATTTGACTGTTGTAGTTGTTATGGTATAGTTGCCTAATTTGACACTATAGATTCATTCTTTAGTACGAAACTAAGATCAGATCAGACACTTTCAAAAGAGTTTTGACTTGTATGTCAGTTTTGCCTTTAAATAGGCTGTTGCTGTTAGGGAGTGATAAAGGAACCATAGGTTTACATTGCTGATTAAGATTTTGCCGGTTTGCCTAATTTGACACTGAGGATTTATTCTCTAGTCCAAAATTAATACCTATATATTAAAGTCAAACACATTTTAAAGAGTTTTGATTTGTATGTCTGTTTTACCAGGGTTTTACCCTTTAATATGCTTTTGTTGCTAGGAAGTGATAATAGAACCATCAGTTTACTTTGCTGATTAAGAGTCAGTTTTCCTAATTTGACACTGAGGATTTATTCTCTAGTACTAAACTAAAAAAAAAACACTTTTAAAGGGTTTGACCTGTATGTCGGATTTGCCTTTTTCCAGACTAGTGTGGCTAGAAAGTGATTATGGACCATGACTTACCTTTGC